CCTTACTCGAGTCGTAGGAGGGGGAGTCCCCACAAGACCGTTTCCACCAGTTCTCTCCATAGCGGCGGCAATTTCAGGAGGGGCCATGGATCTCAACCAGTTGAGGGAGTTAAGCCAGCCTTGCACCGTACCTCGGCCGCCTCCGCCGTTCAGGGTCAGCATCGAGTCCAACTCCTCCGAAGTGAAGGTCGCAGGGACCCCGGAGCCCAAAGCGTCCGCGGGTGACTCGACACCAGTACTAGAGTTGTTCCCCCCAAGTCGGTTAGCCGCTTGGTCTATGATTTTCTGCACGTTTTGGAGGCCTTGCGTAGTCGACAGACTGGGTCGCATTCTCGAAGGTAGACTCTCGGTCGGGCCTTCTTCTTCCCGGACAGTGGCGCTCTCATCTTCTCTGTTGTTAGTAGCCGACACCTTTTCTTCCTTCTGACGTTCTCCGCGAGACTTCACTTGGAGCAAGACCTTCTCCAGCTAGCAGACTACCCTGCTTCTCCACCAGATGTCGTATACCTCCTCTTCCTTCGAGGGTCGGGTAGTCCGCGGCTGTTCAGGGAGTACGGTCTTGTTCAGTGGCTGCAGGAACGGTAGATAGGAACACTAAAGAGTTGAAAATAAAAGTTTGTTGATTGGCTTGGCTTCCTCTTGAGTAGAAGGAGGGAAATATAAGACTGAGAGCTAACCGGAAGAGAGGCCTAACACCTTCTCGACCTTACATACACTACACTACATATTAAAAAAAAGGAAGGATTCACTTCGTTTGTTGTCGGCCTTCGTGGGACAACGGAGAGCCTCTGGGAAAGGGCTTGATGTCGCGAGGTGCTTTTGGTCCCACGACGCCAAGACTCCGGCGTTCTGGGGTCCCCTTATAGGACCACCCTAACGGGCTCGGTCAGGGGCACGTGCGTGGTTGAGTTCAACGGGAACCACCCTGACGGGACGGCGGGGCGAGGAGTGATTCCAGGGTCTCGGGTCATCCAGACGGGAGGCAGAGCTCCTGGAATGACCCCTCCGTTCCCGGGTACGGGACACCTGGCCCAAGTACGGTGAGGTGATCTATTTGCGCCGAGAATCAGTATACTGACGCCGGAGGATAGGTTCGCGTTGTGTCTACCAGCCAATTGGAAGCTATCCACTCGAAGCTTCGAAAGCTGCTCGACCGCGTTATACCAGTTGAAGTCGGGCTGCGGATACTAGATATCTTCATTTTGCAGGTTTGTGATCTGTGAACTATACACTGCGTTATTTAGCCTCTTCCTTAACCGCTTATGTAGCATAATGTAAGTGTAGGCGCCCGGTACCAACGCAATCCCGCTTTTAAGGGTACCAACTTTAGAAGTGTAGTTCAAAGTGCTGTTATGTGTCAAGGTCTCATTTCAGAGTCTTCCCAGATCGAATAGCGCATGGCTACAAAGTACAGCGATACAACGCCAATCGTGGTGGTGCAGCACCATCAGCGGAGCACCAACCTTGGGAGCGTATTTTTGATATGATCCATCTCCGAACAAATAATGTGGAAGTGGACATTCTTGCGAGGAATGCACCAGCGGACGATATTCGCTCACTACTGTCTGCTACTTGCATAAAGCGAAAGCATCTCTCTCGTGAACGTTTTGCTGGATTATTGGGACTGAAGCCGAAATATGACGCTGTTAGGGAGTTTTCTGCACAAGAGTTCTCACTACTGAAGCAGCTCCGAGCTGAGCAGCTCGCTTCAAAACAGCCTTGGTCGAGCAGTGAGGTAGTCTCTACAATATTGTATAATTGCGCTGTGGAACGCCTGGATAATAGTGCACTCAATATCCGAAAGCGAGGAATCCGAGCTATTGCGATACGTTTACCTGGTATTGACGACCAATCGAAGAAGAAGCCAATTGTCATAGGGCAGCGCATCATACTAACGACAGACAAATCGATCTGTGATGACGTCGTGACGCCTGACGAAGTGCATTAATGCAGAATATCTTCTCAATGTTGCGCACATCGACGCTCAAACACAAAAAGCGACTTAGCGCAGTTGTGTGCAGCCACTTGTGATGACATAAATCCGAAGTCGACAAAACTGCTGCTTCGGCGATGGGACGGATTGAAGCGGGCTCAAAACCGCGATAAAAAGGAGAAGGCGGGTGTCATTAGTGATGATCTGGAAGTGGCAGTACATATTCTTCCAGATCAGTTCACCATTAGTCCTGGGAATTTGTCGGAGAATAACTCCGGAAAGGATCCCGACGAGGAATCCAAGCGATTCCACAAATCCTCAGCAGCTGGACGCGGTAATAATGCTGTGGCTGAACTCGGTACCGAAAGCATGGTACAGCCAAATCAGCTAGCTACGTGCCCAGCTCCAGCCGAAGAGGAACCAATTCGAGATGCGCAGCCGGCAAACGTAGCTAAACTCGCTCTTTCCGCCATCGTAAATTTGCTGCATGTGCTGGACGATACACTCACCGAACACTTGCTTGACATCGCTTCTTAATTCCCGAAGCATACACCTGGGAAACGGCCCCTGTTATTAGCCATAAAACAGGGGTCATTTTTATCCGGTACTATTTTGCAACACTAATAATTTCAATATAATATTTAACGAAGGGGTGTCACTTTCACGCAAACTCCCTGGGCAGTCAACGGTCGTATAAGGTGACAAACGGTCACAGGTGGTGGGATTGGTCTCGGGACAAGCCCACACAAGCCGTTGGCCCCACTAAACGTAGGCAGACACCCGCTCTTTCAATACTTTTATCTCAATGAACTATTTCGTTGCGCAGTAACGTCCTTTGTGGGTGCCCTGTGTTTGTGGTGACGTGTATACAGTGCCGTGGAAGCGATATCAAGCTGCTGTTGGTGAAAAGAAGATACTTCAGGAGCATGAAGCAGAAGGAGAGATCACTACGGCTTACGAGCGAGTCTACCAACAACTTAAAGGTCTACACGTCAGCGGTAAAACATATCTTGGCATAGTAAAGTTGCTTCGCTTCGTGGCGCGTCGGCTGGAAATGGGCTGACACTAGCGTGGTTTTACGTCGGATCTAATAAAATGGCGAGCCTGTGAGGGCTTTTTATGTCGTATATGATACGATTGCGTGCTGTTGATCTATGGGGATACTAGTACAGCGATAGCTAACGTGTTGTGCTTTATGAAGTGGGCTTTATACATACTTATTAAATGAAGATGGCACTGAATGTATAAATTTCAACTATGTAAAAAAAATGAGGCATGTTGTTCTGAGCTTGTGTAGCTTGGCGTTGCTCGCAACGTGGATTGTCGCTATTTGCTCCACACCTGTTCTTGGTCTGGCGGCAGCTCTTACAACCAGGTACATGTCATTTTCCTGGAATTAGTGCTGGTACTGTCAGCGCCTCTATATTCAGCTGCGTATCCGGCGCTACGGCTGGCGTAGGAGGTGGAGGCAGTGAGGGGCCCTCACTGAGGGCAGGTCCTGAGAAGTTGCCTTGGCCCTTTTACGATCACGCAACCGCATTCGAACCGCGTTTTGGTCTACTTTCGAGGCCGGATAATGCTTGGCGTACTTTTGAGGTATGATTTTCCACTGTCCTGCACAACCTTTTTCCAATTGTGCTGCCATACCGCGTAAATCTCTCTCAATATTGACATCCCAAGGCGAGAGTTAAAACCCTACAGTAGGACGAATTGTTGACGCGCTAGCAGCCGATAATGAACTTGGGATTGCCTCAGCAACAGAGCTTGTATTTATGACGTCTTCATCGTTGTTCTGGACCGATCCAACCGGAGTAGTTGTGGTAGATCTGACAGAGTGTAGCGATGACTTTTTTACCGATGAATTCTGGAGTTGTGACGATGCTCTCTAAAGCATAGGCGGCATCTGTCACTATTTGAGTTGCTGGTGTTTCAATTCGATTTATGGAAACAGCTGGCTCAGAGATATCGCTAGGGCGAACAGCAGAGTTCTTTTTTCTTGCTGCGATTCTGACTACGCTTGAGACTTCCCCATCGACGAAGCAGCAGGGCTGAAGATGTTGGCTCAATTCCTCGCACGTAGCCGCAGCAAAATTAAAGACGATGGTGTACACTTGTTTGTGATGCTTTAGAGATGACGTACGCACCATTTCGAACCGATTTCGTCTTAGTGCCTCCTCATAAGGCTTGGCGACCTCGTCCTGAATAGGTTGGTCCGTTGTGACGATGATTCGTCGGCTTTTGACAGGTGGATCCACCGTCAACTGTGCGTCAATTCCTGATAGGCGTCTAGAAATTGAGCTAAAAGCTCGTTTTTCTGAGATTAAGTGAGCGGCCGTCCAGGCGAACTACTGCACAATTGTAAAGGATCGTTGCGGCAGCTTGACTATCGGACCAACTGCTTGTTAATCTGCACGAATTTGCTTTAGCAGAACAAATTCGTGTGCGCTAAACTCTCGTACGGCATCATACTCCGGCTTCAATTGCAGCAACTGCACGAAACCTCTACGACTGATGCGGTTCCATTTCGTGAATGCGTTTGTAAGTAGAGATCGTATATCATCTGTAGGAACAGATCGGGGTAGTAGATTTGACTCGATCTCACAAGTTCGGAGCTGGATTCATTAAAATAACGGTTTCCACGGTCTGTGGTCATCCAAATTAGAGACGACAGTGCCGTAGTTGCTGCTAGGTACAAACCGATCCGTTTTGATCGACATTAGATTTTTCATATACTCGAGTTTGGGCGATTCTAGGAGTTGACCATGACATATAAATGCACTTTGACACACACACTACGGAAATCTGTCCCGTGGAATTCGGGGTTGCGATGATATTTTTGGACCCCACTGCTAGATTGTGCTGCTCAAAAACGTTACATTGAATTAGTAGTATAACAAGAACGACACATAAGAGGCACAAACCCTGTAGAATGATTATGTTTAAGATCCGGAGGCCACCTTGAATTGAGAGTACACGACCAAGTAGCTTTCTAAGTTTGAAGTGAATGGCTTCGACTTGGCTTGTTGACACAACTCAAACTTCAACCCCTGTACTGATTTTCTCTGCTTTAGATGTCTCCACGACGAATCTGAGCCAGATTACTGCTCACGCATTCCTCCCAACTCGAACGTTGTGCAGTAATGCAGGCGGGGTCATTAGCTTCTAATACTGATCTCACGCGACTTGCGCATTCTTCGGGTGTGCGGAAATTTCGCTGCACATCATATATTGTTCAGAAAGCTGGGCGGACAGCCCACGCTTTTTGGCCGTATCCTTTACTTTCTTGGTGAAGCTTGTAATTACGTGAAATGGGTCTTGCTTCACTATCACTGCGTCACCGAAACTCTTTCGATGAGGTTTCGATTGGCATTCGCGTTGTCGCACACACATATCCGAGGCCCATCGGATTCACTAGTCACTTTAGCAATTATACTCAGTAACAGAACCCCCGGCTTCTCATTTTTTCATATTTGGTGAGAGTCCTTCCCAGTATCTGATGAGCAACAGCAAACGAATATTGATAGACTGCTTTTTGCTCCCATCGGACCCGTAGATTTTGAGTTTACTGCAGAATTTCTGGGAGTGATCTCGAAAAAGACGCTCACACTTTGTATCTGCCATCTGTGCTGCCCACAAATGACTTAAAATGTGAGTATGAGCCAGACATAGTTCTTTTAGTACTTCTGCATCCAAACATGCATGATTAGCCATGTATTGGGTATCGGTTGACGGTAGCGGAGGAGAATTGTCCGCATTCTTAAACCGCAACTTCTTGACTTTGGCCCCCATTCGCGACCGAATAGAGTAATACCGCTTTTGACGTCTGCGCACAATGCTAGCTACAGAGCCTGCTATACCTTCGTCGATAGCATTCCGTCATACACAATATCAAACATATTTGACTAAATACCTGTCTTGTATGTGAGTAAATATGAAAAATGTAGTACCAACATTTTCGAGGATGCAAGGTCCAGAAAAGAATTAACAGTTAGGTTTTTCTATAAAAACATCGCATCTGTGATTGGTCAATGTCCATTCTGAGATGGGTACGATTGGTTAAAATGAGTTCGTTTGAGGATTTGTATGCACACGGATTGAGCGTAATTGACGCGAAAATGGACTAAATTGCTTTTAGTGATATACCACTAGATTAAGCTCAGTTTGCGCTTATTCTAGTATATTTTAAAGTTTAATTCTGATTTTTTTGTTACGTCAAAGCAAAAAAAACAACTCCTCCCCTCCGTAAAGTGATAGTTCAAATGGTCAGGCATTGGCAAAATTGGCGGGAAACTTGTTCATTTAAAAATTGTGCCGACGCTACGTAAGTACAGCTTTCAAACTAGCTCAACCACGCTTCCGTTGGAGCTGTACGACCAAAGTTATCTCCGATTTAAAGAACTGTTGATTCTTTTTCGGACCAGACAAGTAAGTATCACTAATCGTGGAAAACGATTTCTTATTTTAAACCTGTGCACTGAGTTGGGGCACGGATCACTACTGTCAGAATGGTTTGAGCTTCCGATCCGCAAGTGGGCCCCAGAGTGTCTTGAAGGCAATAGAAAGCCAAGGTGTGTAGTAAAAGGTTGTTGCTGCGTACCGAAGGTAAAGGGTACAAACAACGCGTTGTCGAGGATATTCAACATCGGACAGCACTGTATTATGCAAGCTATCGTCCTTCAGCAACGGAGGGAAGTGCCGCAGGGCAATAGCCTCGGTTACAACAGCTTTGAGCAGTGCTTTTCTTCACCATGACCTTTCCCAAAAAGTTCATTATTTAAGTTTTGATGTATTTCTGCGGGCGGACCTTGCGGGTTGCGGCGGCATGCGGGACTTTTGGCCCGCCAATACCGGTCAAGCCCCAGTCATTTATCAAGCTGCTGGAACACGGAGGTCCCCGATGACCTTCTCTACTACTGTACTACCACATCAAGCGTGCAGGTCCCGCGAAGAATAAGGCTAACTCTTCATTCGCTATCATAGACATCCAGCGTGCGGGCTTGGCTGTTGCGGCAGCTCTCTCCCTTTTTAGGGACATACGTTGTATCCGTGACAGCTGGGCAAGCTTCCATCTAACGCTACTTACTCATTCTATAGCTCAATCCTCTGATCTCCGCATCTACTCTGAAGCGCATCAGGCGTGCGATCTTGGCTGTTGCGGCAACCCCCTCCCTTTTTCGGGGCAGCTGAGCAAGCTGCCATCTATGTTTACTCTATCACTTTCAATCTACGGGCATTAGGTTGCGAGCTTGGCTGCTACGGCAACCCGTGGCTGCTGATCGAGCCGCAATCTACATACTTAACGTGTTGATCTACTGCAAGCGCAAAAGGGATGCGAGCGTTACGGCTGCGGTAGCCCCTCCTTTTGTAGGGGTAGCACATCGCTGCAAAGTGCTGTCGGCGCGACTGTTTTTATTATCCGTGAGTATGATGATCCTCCATTTGCTTAGCACGTTGCGTTCTTTGTAAGCACATCCTTTTGCTTGGTCGATCTTTTGCTGACCCGGGCGAAGAGATGGTAGCTAAAGTGCTCGAGCACATCTCCCTCAAGATAGGAGACAAGCGAAAGAGCGAGCGCAAAAGAGAGTAAGAGCTCGAGAACGTGCGCATAATATGCATCCTATTCATGAACAATCGAAGCTCGTGAGCGCAGAATTATGCTCATTCCAACTGCTCTAACTGATTTCTAAAAATATTAATATTTTGATGTACCTTTCCACTTTTATGTTTTGTGGAGCAAGGCTGTGAAAAAACTTCAGCATTTTTAAAGCCTATGAAACTAATAAGAAACACGAAGAACATACGAGCACTTTTTTTAAATTTGTATTGACGCACTACCTACTTTTTCTGTGGACCCCATATTTCATCCCTGAATTAATCCGTATTAGGCTGTACGTTCTACTCACGTTGCACTATTAGGATTAGGTGCACCTGTACAGAGGTGCAGGGTTCCTAAGAAAAACAATTTACTAAAAATTAATTATTTTCACCTAAGAAAATAACTTACTTTATAGGCTGGTACAATTTGAATTTTTTTTTATGGATTTTGTGCACTCCACGAAATTTATTGTCCTTGTTGGGCAGCCACCAGAACCTCGCTGGCTCTGAGCTGTCTACAAACCGATGCCAACGACGCAAACTCACTTTGCACACACCTCAAACTACTAACTCTCGCCAGATTAGAAATGTCTAACGCTCCTCTGTTGCGCTCGAGGAGCAAGTTCTCCCCGAAGCCATTAATTTAGTGACACGATCACGTTTTGATGCAGATATTTATTTTCCACAGTCACAGCACAGGTTACTTATTTGCAGATTTCCGATCTACCATGCAGGAATCTATTTTCATTAGACAAAGTAATCCATTTAGATTATTTTTTAAGGAGCCCTGTTACTATGGATGCGAGCATCCTCCGAAGCTGAGACAATGTATTGTCGAAATATTTAGCTTCACTAAGTATTGGGCTAACAATTTAGAGAACAAAGATATTTATAAGAGCAATTAGGATGTTTTAGAGCATAGTTTAGGGACGTTTTTACACGTACCAGCGCCCACAAATCGGCTTGTTGTCTTCATGTAAATTTTTACCAAAACGATTATTTACGGTGCACAGTGAAGTAAAAATTTACGCTAAGCTTATGATGAAAGATTTACAAAAAGGGCCATTAACAGTGGCCACAACGCCGTCGTCTTTGGGGTCAGATAACCGCCTAATGGCGAAGACGAGACTGCGTAGCAGACTGCTGCGTGGTCGACTCGTCGGACTGGGTAGCAGGGTTGGTGATACCAGTCTTATTCGCTGGGGTCGTGACCGAAGGGGTATCGGTTGTTGGGCCCTCGGTAGCCGGAGGTGCCGTCGTAGGAGCCTGGGTAGCCGGTGGCGCAGGAGTAGTGGGTGTAGCCGGAGGAGAGCCAGCAGAGCCCTGGGTGACATGAGGCTGATTGATGTCGGGCGTACCTTGGTGTGGCGTAGTCACAGTACCGGTCCATTGGTTAGAGTTGTTGTTGTCGTCGCCGCCAGGGCAAGGAGTCTCCGCGGAGGTTCCGTCATTGCTTGGCCACTGCCCACCCTGGTTAGCGCCCCACGTCTGGCCACCTTGTCCCCACGTTTGACCTTGGCTCGCGTTATCGCTCGGGCATGGTGTAGCTGCAGCATCATCACCCTGGTTATCGGTGCCGGTCCAGCCCTGGCCTCCTTAGTTCCACGAGTGACCCTGGTTACCCTGGTGACCTCCCTGGCCACTACCTTGGCCCCACGAGTGACCTCCCTGACCACCACCTTGGCCCCACGAGTGACCACCCTGGCCCCATGTCTGACCACCTTGGTTGGAGCCGTCGCTAGAACACGGTGTAGCAGCAGCGCCTTCACCTTGATTTCCCCCCTGACCCCAAAAAATGCCCACCCTGCTGAGTGCCGTGGTTGGAGTCGCCGCCCTGGTTCCAAGAATGGCCCCCTTGTTGAGTGCCGTGGTTGGAGTCGCCGCCCTGGTTCCACGAATGGCCTCCCTGTTGAGCACCATGGTTGGAATCACCTCCCTGGTTCCAAGAATGGCCTCCCTGCTGAGTACCGTGGTTGGAGTCGCCCCCCTGGTTCCACGAATGGCCTCCCTGTTGAGTGCCGTGGTTGGAGTCGCCGCCCTGGTTCCACGAATGGCCTCCCTGTTGAGCACCATGGTTGGAGGCACCTCCCTGGTTCCAAGAATGGCCACCCTGTTGAGTGCCGTGGTTGGAGTCCCCCCCTGGTTGGCCGTCCCGGTGGACGTGTGGCCGGTCTGCCCGGCCGTATCTGTCGTAGTGTCCGTGGATGTCTGACCGGCCTGCGTCGTGGTGGACTGCTGCGTTGATGCACCGGGAGCCGTCGGAGTAGTCGAAGTCGAGACACCACCGCCAGCGCCAAGCTGACGTACGGCGTTGCCGGCAACAGGAACGGAGGCTTCAGTGAAGGAGTTCACCACCAACGACACGATGGCCAGGTGCGCAACCAACTTGGTGAGGTTCATCTTTGCAGAGTAGGGGAGAAGTAGCAGCGTTGAGTGCTGAGGCTTGGAGAACGATGCTTGTCGAAAGCAAAGTAAATTGAAAAATGAGAAGCTGAGAGAGGCTACGACTCGGAGTACTGCTCTCGAACAGCATGACAAGGGGGTGTACTACATGTAGCGCAGTGTGTCGTGCGTGGACACTACTTAGCGCCTTATTCGAGCAGCAAGATGCAGAGTATCCGCCGCTCGGTCCAGAGGCACACGGAGATGGACATCCACCAGACAGATCGGCAGGGTGTAGGATAATGAGTGGTTATCTTCTTAGGGATAGGGTATCCTATACTTGGTTGCACTAAGTGTTGGGGACGGACCGTCGTGAATAGGTAAAACCTATGTTACGGAATAATTATATGTTAAGTGTGCGGTCTACACTAACGTTGTAGAGACACCATGGAGCCACCAGGACTGCAGGTCGAACTCGAAGAGAGCGCGCATGCGACCCTGGACCGCTGTCGTGAAGCACGACCGGCCAACACGATACGAGCGTATGCACCGAAACAGCGAGAATTTAAGGCATGGTGGGAAAGAAAAGGTTTCCACGAGACTACTCGGTACCAGGTTACTGCAGCCAAAATGCACTTGTTTCTTCAAGAAGAAGTGGTCGATCGACAAGTCCGCACCAAAGGGTCAGCCCGCAAAGTTAGTGTTGCTACAGTAGAAATGTACGTGAATGCAGTCTCAGATTTGTACAGCGATCAGCAAAGCCGAGGGGCGAATTCGCACCCGCATCCTCGCAACAGTCTCATTAAAGGGTTGTTGACGTCGCTGAAGCGGGAAAGCCACGCCAAGAACAAGCGAGAGTATGCGGATCGCGGAGTTGGTTCGCTGCTAGATGGATATTGCACGACGAATGATCTCGTTTCCATTTCTCGTTACTATATGAACCTAAATACTGGCAGTGACTTGCGCAACAGAATGAGCCATTTCCTTTGCCACGCGTGTCTTCTAAGAGGTGAATCTGCGCGTAATTTAGATTTACCAGACTTGTTCAGCGTGATATTGGAACATGAAGGATTTACAGAGTGTCGAGCGTTAGTGATGATCATGGAACAAGGCAAGACAAATCAGTTTGGGCGACGTGAATTTGGGTCTTGTATTAGACATCGCAATGCGGAGGTGTGTCCTGTAGGTGCCCTCGCTCTGTATCTCTTCTGGCGGTGGTTTGTACAAAAGGAAGCGGTTCCAGATTTTTTAGTGCCTGAACGATGGTACGACATTAAGCTACTCAAGTCAAACAAAGACATCACAACTCCAATGACATACCGTGCGCATTACGACGCTACCGTTAAAGCGTTTTCTGCGCTAGGGATGCGCTCGAAGGCCAAGACCCATGCCGCTCGAGGGTCAGGTGCCAGAATGGCTGAACTGGCTGGTGCTACGGAATCACAGATTAGACGATTAGGAAGATGGAATGCATCTGCAATGGAGGGATGCTACCTGAGCGCTTTACCACGCGAAGCTATGCGGTCTCTTGCTGGATTCCCTCCGGATAGGCGCACATTTTGCTTGGATCGAGCGGCAATCGATCCCCCAGAATGTCTCCTGCGCGACGTGTTTCCGTTTGTTGAAACCTACATGGCAGCTTACATGCAACAGTCAGCACCACACGTAGCAATCGGAGGGTTTCTGTTGTTCCAGACTTGATGGACCACCTAAAGCAGCAGCAGCAGCAAACAATAGCGCACATCGACAGCAAGATCAACGAGATCAGCACATCAATTAACCATATAGCGACAGCATTTTCACGACTTACATCGGGGTCTTCAGCGGTCCGTCTTACTGTTGACTGGGGATCAGCACAATCATCAACTTCTACCCCTGTTGCTGCGTCTCAGCATGCACCATTGCCTCCAACTTACAAGTTAGTGAGATCCATAAAAACAGTGCAACAAGTTTGGCAAAAATGGACGACCGGTATCCATGGAGGTCCAGCGGTACGCGACCTGGAGGAGCGCTACGGCTCAAACTGGCGCAACAGCCCCTCAGAAAAACGTTTCTTCTTTCGTCGTAAGCGAATTATTGATCGTGTTACTCTGGTGGCACAACAACAGCATATTAGTGAAGCACAGGCAGTGTGCATTCTCGAGGGCCAACGTACACAGTCTCACCTTTCTCTGAACGCGTTGAGTGAGAGTTTCAAAGGCCGGCAGTAATCTGTCAAAGGCACGAATACATACAGTAATTTGTTAAAATAACATTTGTACGCGTCAGCGGGATACCACAAACTCAAACCTTTAACGCCATACATAACTCCCTAATTTACCTTCGTGTATGCCTTTCTTGGTGTACTGCATGTCATGTCGACCGCACAGTGCCCCAACGACTCAATCGCCTTCTTGGTTATCACCTACCAGAGCGAAGTAGCCTCCCGTCTCGTACTCTGCATGTTGAGCTTGAGCAGCTGTCTCCACCACCTCTGCAGCGACGGATCCGACCTCCACCGACGTGTCGATGTCGTCTGTCTGAAGCTTCGTCTCCGCAGGCACAGCAGCCTCCTCCAGCACGTCAGGTGCCGTCTCCGTTGTCTCCGCTGCACGGCTATCATCACTCACCACGGGCTCCATGGCAATCGCTGCACCACTCACCACGTCGGTGACCAGATTCTCCATGGCCGCCTCCACGTCCGGGTCTGCCACGATCGTCTCGGTCGCTGGCTCCAGGACCTCCGGTTCGTACACGCTGATAGCAGCGCCTTTCATCGCACTCCCTGCATCTACGATCTCTTCTACCACGGCGACGGTCTCCACCACCTCTGCAGCGACGGATCCGACCTCCACCGACACAGCCTCCACGACGTATTCGGGCGCGTCCGGCACCCTTGATACCTGCAAGAGCTCGTCTCCTTCCGCGCCCATTTCCGGCTCTGTCTCGACAGCACCTATCGTTTCTTCAATTACACCCGTAGGTTTCGCCACAGTCCCCGTCAGTGTCGTCGCTACCGCCAGTGCTACCGTAGCCGCCACCGTCGCAGCCACCATTCGCCGCCCAAGGGGCCATCACCTCCCACAAGAACGACGGAGTCTTTCGCCACGTCGGAATTTTTTCTGTTGTTTCTTTTTTTCTGTCAGTCCGGATGCAATCCGGATAACTGCTGTTATCAACTGCCATCCACTTCAGATAGTTGCCTATCTGGAGGGACGGGACAGGGACAAGATTGTGACGCAGCAAGAGACGGCATCCCTCGTCCACTTCCGATAATGCGTCCTAAGACACGTCCTAAACTGTCCTATTTGTCCTAAATTTTACAGGGAGATTTTGGAGATGTGTCCTAAAAAGCGACTAATCCTTCGTTACAGAATATTATAATTTGTGTCCTCCGGATTGTCCTAAACCTCAAATATTAACTTTTTCCGGACTATCTACGTAAATTTACGTAAGAGTTACTTAAAACTCACATTGGCTTTACTTATTGTCCTGGGGCACACCAACCATTTCTGAATCTCCACTACTGCAGCCAAGCATCATGGACCATTGCGGCTACTCCTTCTGCAGCTAGGGCGCTCGCCTATCTGGCCTCTGCTGCCACCTGCGGAAGCAGTGTCTTGTCCGCTCTGCTCACGAGCGCGAACATTCAACAGTGCGGCACGGACCACTGAGATCCCGGACCAGGCCACCATTGACAAGATGTGCGCCTCGACTGCCTGCAACACCCTGCTCGATGACGTGAAGGCCATGAACCTGGAGGAGTGCCAACTGCCGGTCGGTGTCGGTTCCAACCTGAAGGCCGACCTGGTAGTCTACGTGCCGTCCAACTGCCCATCGACGTCGGCTCCCAGCCCGGACTCGCCTGCCACAAACGCACCTGTTGTCGACACCCCGACGACGCCAGACAACTTGACGAACCAGGCCGAGCACACCGCCGCGCTAACCAAGACCCCCATCGCTTGCTAACCGCGTCTTCGGATCGACTTGCAGCCAAGTAGCCCTTGCGAGTACTTTGCTGCTTTTTGAGCCCCCCCCCCTTTGTCGTCACGTTCTGATTATTAACCGTCGTTTGCTGTGCATGTTGAAGTCGCTCAACCGTTATTAGCGGCTATTATTACCTTCAATGACTATCATCCTTTGAAACACTTTAAAAATATTGTCACACACTTTGTAGTAGAGAAGTTTTGTTGAGGTGCTTTTCGCGCACAACAAAGAATCGGCTGCTCTTGGAGAGAGGGGCTTAAAGATGTTTATTGTTTCTAGCTAGGCCAGTTGAGGATATGGCTTGAGGACAGTGCATGTTGGGCTTGGTGTTGTCCAAATAGGACAGTGGTCTGAGTTGCAGTCTGTCCTAATAGAACAGACTGAGTTGTCAGTTGTCGAGTGTTTTATTAGGACACGCGGACCCTGGCTTGTTTCGTCCTAAAACTCATTGTGTTGTCCTAAATATGGGTTTGTTTATGAGCCGAATTGCTAGTTTTTTATCCCAGGTTTTAGGACAATAGGACACTTTAGGACTCCTAGTAGGACGCATTCTCTCCTACCATCGGCAGAGCTCCCATCTGGTGATTTCGCAAAAACGAGGGCAATTTCATAGTCGAGCATAGCGTAATGGCGGGGACGCCTCCACATGGCGTGATAGGTTCTGCATCGAGAGTGCATGAAGTTTCCATGACGAGGACATTACTTCGAGATCACCGTGCTGCCAGCGTGGATCATCCTCTTTTGCGTTGGTGGCGTCTTCGCAGGGGGAACGCGGAACGCTGCTCCGCCTTTTCCGAGATAAAAGTGCGATAGTTACGGGGGGGGGCGGCGTCGAGCTGGAGACTTGTCCATCAGCTGTCGTGCTCGCAAGGTACTTGCGGTGGCTGCTATTATTAGTTGTTATAAATCTACGATCGAGTGGCGGCGTCATTTATCAGCAACTACGAAAACGTGCCTTTACGAAATTATTGCAGCATTTTAAGCTGTGTGATTGATTTTTACACTGTGGCAACTTGTAAAACTTTAGCGGAGTAGAGTAACTGTATTACGGTGCGTCGGTGTGAAACTTCAAGGTCTCGTCGTTGTTCCAATGTTCTAATGAGCGAGCGAGTAGCTTACATCAGTCAAAAATATCATTTCTGTTAAAACTTTGAATTGACGGTTGAAACTTTGTGGAAACGTTGCGCTTAGTTTCAGCATTACAAAACAGCTGTTTGTTTGCAAAAAGGCAGTCTAGAAGCTAAGAAATACAATTGTTTATACTCGCCTAAGCTACCATAAAGGCGCCTTTACTCCATTTCTGCCATCGATTTTGGAGCTTACCATTAACCCCTGACCGGTACGGTACATGTAAGGCTTACATGTAAGGCTTACATGTACTGTACCGGTCAGGGGTTAATGGTAAGCTCCAAAATCGGTGAAGATAATATTGTGAAAATATCACCTGTAGACCAGTTAATTTAAAAAAATATCACCTAGTATTTTCTTCCGAGAAGAAATGATATTATTAAAATATCAGCTTAATATTAGCTACTGTAATATTATACATGTACGATATTAAATTTTTCAAAGGTTGCATAATCTGTTTAAATCCACCAACCAGATGTCGTTAACGTTCGACTAGCAGAAGTATTACTAATCAACCGTGAGGGAGATGGAGTCCGGGACAATTGTGAGAGTGACGGCAAGGTTGGCGTCGTGTGTTGGCACTGCTAAGCGCATTAGCCTATTAATAGCGTTACAGGCTGCAGGTTTCTTAGACCTAGACGCACGGCGTGGACGAGGCTATCGGTAGAGAACAAGAGCAAATAGCTTGATTTCGCTCTATCGACATTAAGCAGCTGCAAGCGTTTGCCGTTTATCCATCTCGAACGCCTTTGTCTGTGTACTAGAGCAACGATATACTAGAGCAAATACTCGTCAGTCTTAAAGCCTACTGCTGCTCTAGAACCTGACCGAAATAGTGAGCCCTCGGTTCACTCAGCAGAGGTAAGGTGGCAAGAAACGTACTTAGGTGAGAAAATAGCATAAAATAAAATCTAGTATCTAATATTTTTCAAATCTCCAAGCTAGTTTAAAAATATTATGTTAGCTTTTGATAAAAGAGCTACTATCTATATTTAATTTCATAAATAGTACTGCTAATATAAAAAATTATATGAAATTTGGCTACCATTAGCCCCTGTTACCGGTAAATGTATTTATCAAGCGATTGCGACGTGGCATTAATACTTGTTGGGGAACCAAAACCAATAATCTGGCTATCGTTGCATCGTCGTTCTCAGAAAGTTGGTCCATACGAAAGGAACCGGACGTCCTTTGACAGCTCTAATATTCATCGCCTTTACCGGGGAGCAGAATAGCGGTGGGGTTCGCGCTTGCTAATCTTTAAAAGTCTACGATACCGTCAGAGGATACAATGACGAGGCAAGAAAACGACCTACCCGGCTGCAGCTCATATGATTGAAAAAGCTTCGTCTCAGTAGGCTTGAAGTTTGTAGTGGTGGATGGCTTCAACGGACCAAGCCTAGCCCATGCACTGGGGAATGTCGACAGGCAGACATTCCCAAGCTGGCAACAAGATGCGATAGTACAGATAGCTACCACATCCCAGTACGAGACTAGGCAGCAGGATTCAGTATGAGACTAGGCCAGCATGAAGTACGAGACTAGCCATAGCTGTAGTCTACGACAGGTCGTGTTAGAGCTCACTTTGAGATATGCCAAACCACTTACAGAGCTTTAGTTTGCCAGGAAGCGCCAGCTTCCCAAATAGTGTTTCTAGACCCACTACAAAGCTATCTTTAGTTGCGGGTTCAGCAACTAACCGACTGATTGGAGAAAACCAACCAACTGAAAGAAGATGCCGGGTCCTAAGATTACTGAAAGTGACGACGAAGAGGACTTTCGCGAGGTAGCAAGCTCCGATGGACGTGAGCAGCAGACTGAAGTGACGACAGGACCGGATGAGACATCGATGCCACAGCAAGTGCGTGTTCCGCAGCCGATCTTTTCGGTGGTTAACCCTCCTAAGGTGACTTCTATCGCCCGTGAGGCGCTGGTAGAGTGGATGAAACTACGAAAGGAGTATGAAGGCCACGTGAAGGAGCGTTGCAAGGGCAGCAAGGAAGACGTCGCCGCTGTGATGAGTAGTGTGAAGAGTTCTTTTGATGACTACTTGCTCGAAACACTGTGCGAGGTTCGTTGGGGAGTGGAGAAGAAGGATGTGTCGGACGATTTCCTGCTGGAGAAGATCCGTGAGATCACCGACAGTTTCCAGAACCAGGTACTTCCTCCGGTGAAGGAACTTTTTCGTGACGAACTCAATATGGACATGAAAAACATGGACATCGATTCGAGAGTGACTGATTACTTTCATCAATGCAACATGTTGATCAAGAAGTACGGCTTCATTTGTTTTTTTGAGTCTGAGAAGGGGCCAAAAGAAAAATGCAAGTTGCTCATCAACTCTCTTCCAAAGGGATTGAAGGACAAGGTGCAAAATGAACTCGACTATCGTCTCCCCGAGGCAAAGGCTGACATCAAGAAGTTATACATCTTGGTGAGCGACAAAGCCAGGGAACAAGCAATTGAAGAACGTGCTTTGAAGAGTGTTGGCAACCCGAGGCGCAGCCGTGATTCAGGCCAGAAGAAACGTCATGCCGAGCAGAAGGATCGCCGGTTAGTGAAGAAAATGAAGCAGTCCAACAAAACAAATCAATCCCAGGCTGGGAAATCCGCTCAGGTAGCTACGAAGGGGGTGCAAACAAGGTTGTTTTCATTGTGGAGGAGCCCACTACTTGTCCAAATGTCCAACCGCTACGCCCGTAGAGCGCGATAAACTACTCGCAGACAAAAAAGTACCAACAACCAAGAACACAGCTTCCAAAAAAGGAAGCCGCTAGATTAAACCGAGTCCAAGCGTGTTTTCATAAGCGCGGAAAGTTTGTTGTGCTGGAGAATGAGGTGGAGATTCCGCTCTGTATCGACAGTGGGGCAGACCGCTGCTCTTTAGATGAACATGCTTTTGATCGGGTGAAAAAGGCAAGGCCTGAAGTTGTGCGCCATAAGTTAGTGAAACCAGTGAAGTGCACTTTGGCTGATGGGAGTGTGATTTGTGTGAATTGGACTGTGAAATTGAACTTAAAGCTGCGAACAATTGCCGGTGTGGTTAATGTTGCCGAGCCAGTCGAGTGTTTAATCATTCCTGGCGACTCGGGTGAGTTCCTACTGGGAAATGACCTGTTGCTCTCCCTAGTAATTGACGTTGGTCGGCAAATTGACATGCTGGCAGTGCCTTTCGCGGCTGATATGGACGGAGATGAATTTGACGATGCCAATGAGCCAACGATTGGTATCGATGAGTTAAAAGATGATGTACGAGCGGGGGTCCGTGGCTTGGTGGAGAAAGCGATAGAAAATGGTTTCCCACGCGAGCATAAGAAGGAATTGTTTCACATTGCGAGCAAGTTTGATATATGGAGGCTGCAATTGGGAGCTGATCCACCTGCTAAGGTACCGCCAATGCGTGTACGACTCAAGACTGGCGCTCGACCCTACCGGTGTAAGGCTCGGAGGTATCCGCCAGAAATACGACGTTTCTTGGATGATTTTAACTCCAAGTTGGTCGAATTAGATTGGGTATACGAGAATCCGGAAAGTAGTTGGGCGTGCCCAGAACTACCGGTGAGAAAAGGAGCGGGAGAATTTCGGCAGACAGCCGATTATAAACCGGTGAACGCTTTGGTTGAGGCGATTGTGGGGATGATGTCCGATTTGAACACCGACCTTGGCGATGTTGAAGGAGCAATTTTTTTCGGTTTGTTTGACTTCATCAAGGGCTACTGGCAATTGGCACTAGCAGACGAGTGCCAGGAGATGCTTTCGTACATGACGCACAACAAGGTGTACACTCCAAGAAGGGTGCCACAAGGTTGTACAGATGCTGCGTTGTTTTTTCAAGCCACGATCCAGAAGTGCTT